GGCGACGACCTTGTAGGTGAGCGGCAAGGAGCCGAAAGGGGAAGAGAGAGATAGGGAGGGATAAACGTAGCAAGAAACTCGACGAGGGCAGAGTGGAGGCCGGCACGAGGGCACAAGACCTGCGAAAGCTAGTCTTCACGCAGACAGCGACAGACTAGTCCCAATGACCAAGTTATACATTAGCAATCGAAGAGAGATACAACACTATGGCCACTCACCTAGTCCCAATGACCAAGAGGTCGAGATGGGGACTAGGGAGCGCCTAAGGGGGTCCTTATATACTAGAGGGGCTGCTTAGCAACCAAAGACAAGGCGCGAGAGCGAGGCAGTGAAGATGACAAAGGAAGAACAAAGGGCGAGAACAAAAGGGCAAGGGCATGGCGATCACGGGAACGTAGCATGCGGCTGTGGGAACGTGTCTACAGTGTCCAAATTGGGATGGGCTAGGAAAGGAAATGGTCCGCAAATGGAAGGTGGGCGTCAAAGGGAGGGGAATGGGCGGCAAAAAGGGGCGTCTGTCCAACGTCCGTGACAAGAAAGGTCGATTTCTCGCCGTCGAGCTGACGCTCGCGGTGAACAACTACGTATTTGGCATCACCGTCGTGGGTTGCATCCTCCTTCAGATGAACTACTTCAACAAGTCCCTCGGCACCTACATGCATGTGTAAGTTCCTCCCCTCTTTTCCCTGTGGCTTCCCCCACTGATGTGCCGACTTCATACAGCGTGAACCGGATGTACTACGTTGGCTTCTCCACCACGACAATTGTCGCCTCTGCCATCCTCTTCCGTAACACGGATGACCCCGCCAACTCCATCTCCCTCCTCACCAGCTTCATCACCACCTTACGAGCCGTTCACCTTCTTAAGATCTCCCGCAAGCGCGACCCCGGCGCTCTCCCCGGGGGCCACCACCCACGCTCCGCCTTTGAGTCCGGCTTGATGAATCCGCAACTGGGCATACATGGACGAATGTCGGTTGACGGGTGGAACGGCGCAGCAGGGACGCTTATTGGGAACACAATGCCCGTCCCATGGAACACCCCTGCAGACGCGCACGGGAGGCATGACAAGCGGAACTCGCTGTCCCGCAATCAGACGCAGACGCTCTTCCAGGCGTTTGAGGGGGATGGGGACGAGGACCGCGCATATCGGATGGGGCTGGACACGCTGCATGAGGTGGAGGACGACGAGCTCGAGGCGGACAAGGGGACGGCGATGAGGAAGGGGAGCTAAACTTAGGCCGCCATGTAACTAGTGCAATGCAGCGATAAAGAACTGTCCCCTCACTCACCAGGCCCGAGCCATCGCCTCGTTGTCCAATCTCCTGCGGTATCTACTAACGCATCACTTTCTGTATGCTGAACTGCATGACTCTAGTGGGTAAGTGTCGTTTTCTACTGATGAGCACCTTACCTTGTTGCGCTAACATGTGAGGTAATGGAAATCCGAGCATATATTGCGCCGTCATGAAATATCGTGGCAAGTCTTGCACGGTATTGTGAGTATTGTGCGAACAAGCCCCCTTGGCTCCCATATCGGGTGCTCGCGTCATCTCGTCCCGTAATCGGCGCTTCAGGCACCACCTGCAATCCTAGACGACATTTTGACACATTTGCTGATGTCCGCTAGCATCGAGGACTTGAATTTGGATCGGCTTTCTATGCGTCCCTCTAACCTCAAAAACCTTTCGAACATATATTATCTCCTTGCCATCCGGATCGTATATCAGACGTAAGATCTGCATCTTGCCGATTAGACCGCGCGTCTTTCCCGTGCAGCAGTATCCGAAGGATAGGTGAATCTATGTGCGTGTTGTTAAGTACTCTTGAGGGGATCGCTGATTTCCAAGGCCTTCTGCATCATATTATCTGTCCGGGAATATTCCTGTTTGCGTCAATACCGCGGACAACAGTGTATTATGATGACATCATTCAACGCGTCGACGTTCATGCTACCGCGGGACAGCACGCTTAATCGACGGCATGCGGGATGACTCCAGTACATTACTGCACACTGCAGTATCAGCCACTGCTGCCAATCAATGGGACCCTCTACGCTTTCCGTATGATGCTCCGCTCCCGTGATCACCATGCTTGTCACGGCCGC